AGAATGCACGAGCTAACTTCCGCGCACCCTGTGTGCACTGCAAAGTTTTGGCTGCTGATGGAAGAGTTGGGCTTGCGGCACTTATTTGGCATCGACTCAGCTTCGCTTGGCGACTTCCATCTCTCCCGCAGCAGTGGGAATTTCTTCATCGAAGATGACTATGCTTCGAGTGGGGCACCAGGCATTGCGGGTTTTGCCGTGGCTTCGTTTGAGCCGCTGGAGTCGCAAGGCCGCGGGTTTCAACATGGCCATCGGAAAACTTACGGGCTACCTGCTGGGTTTCAAATCGCATGGCCTAGCGTAGCAGGCAGTGAGGATGCGGCAGTCATTGCCGATGCCATGCGGGAGCACAATGCAGGCTTGCTGAAACAAGTTGAGACCCTTCAATACGAAAGCGCCACACTGCCAGCGCGACAGCTCGGGGTTTCCTTGCCAGCAGAGCCCTTTAGTTTACCACAGCAGCAGCAAAGCAAATTCGACGGCGCTTTCGAAGCTGACGGTGTCACACAAAGAGTGCTAGTTCCTGTGACGCCTGCTGAGCCATTAGCGCACGTGCGCAGAGAGCACGCTGCAGCAGAGCAAGAGCAACGCCCAACGAAAAACATTTATCGTGAGGTTGAGCTGACGGGGGCAGAGCTCTGTGTTTTTCCGCGTTACAGGCTCCCAGCACTTGTGACAACCGACTTTGGCTCAGAGCTTGAAGCTGTTTCGCCGGCAGAGGCGTTGCCCTGGGTGCTCAACGAACGGCAGGAAGTCACCGGCTACAAACATGCACGAGGGGGGGTTGCGGACTCAGAAGAACTTGCCAGAGACGCGTGGCAGTGGCAGCAAGAGTTTGCGGCAGATTTCCGTTTTCTTCACTGTCACACGCACAATCATGAGTGCACCGCGTCGTGTCTTAAAAGCGTAAAAAAGTCCATTGCTGAAAAAAAGAAGTTGCTAAAATCAAAGCGCGCAGTCCCATGTCGCTTCCACTGCTTCCATGTGGCTACTTTTAGCGGCAAGCGGGTCCGACGTCGAGGCAAACTGCCTAGGCCGGCCTCTGCGCTTTCAACCAGTGACGACCCGAATCAGTACGGCCTAGTAGCTGTGCCTCTCACGCAGCCTTTTCGCACGGCCACATCCGACATCTCGCAGGTCTGCAACCGAAGCAACTCGGACTACAAGTACTTGGTGCGAGGTTTTCCGGAAGTGGACGAGAATGGTGGGCTCAAACTGCGTTGCAGTGTGCGTGCGCTGGCCTCAGCCCTGGGGGCGCCAACTCGGCAATTGAGTGGCGCATGTTCCGGCACGCTGGCGAAGCTGGCGATTTCCATTATGTCGCAGCATGTTGCGGCTCACAGTTGTGACTTCTATATAACTAAGTATGCTGCCAAGCCCATGGAGGCATTGCAGAGCATCACCACGCAATTTGCTTCTGGCATTCGCAGGCTGGAAATAGAAGAGCAGGAAACCGAAGCTACATTCGACACAAAGTACCGTGCTCGCAGGATTGTTTTGCGCCTCGCAGCTGCTGCAAATAGATCATCGTGGGTGAGCGGTACAGAATTAGCGACAACAGTGCTTTGTTCAGCGCACGCTTGGACCACTCACAGTGACTTGCCTTTGTTCATATCAAAGGCTTGGTACATGTTGCAAGAATGCCGCCGCATCTGCGCTAGCGTTGGCGCATCAACGCGCTGGCACATGGAGCCGGCGCAGGTGCCTTTGCAGTTTGTAGAGCTTGCCATAGCCGACCCACCAGACGTAGATTTGCCAGAAAAAGGGTCTGACGAAGAAGAAGAGGTTGAAAACAAGCCGGCCCAACTGCTGCAAGATTCTGAGGAGGAAGAAGAAGAGTGCTGGAATGGCGCCGTTCTGCGGACGACTGCGTCCACACATGATGATTATTTGCATCGTGGGCCGTTCCTTGCGGTTTTGCCTTTCCTTGTTTACGCTTCGCGGGTGCGGCGGGTTAGGAAACCAAAGTGTTCTTCTAGCCGCGCTGGCCATTTCTTGTACGATTGTCATTACCAGTTGGCCCACTTGTATTGTCAAGAGCTAAATTGGCATTTGGTTATCCCCAGGATTGTTGGGCCTTCGTTGCCGCCAGACAGCGCAGAACAAGCGGAAGATCACGCGGCCTACATGAGCATGCTCTTGCTGCCATTTCGCTGCCAAGGTTCAGGCTGCTGTTCCTCGCCCCTCAATTTCCAAGCCGCAGTTAGCAAGCCTGCGCGCACGCAAAGATTTCAGTTCATGCCAGCTTGGAGGGCGCAGCGTGCGCGCATTCAGTTGCTTGCACGGCAGGCGCAAGAAAAAAACAACTTGTCCGAAAAAATCGCCGTGGTGCATGACACACGACTGCTAAAGCACTGGTGGGACCCAAGCCTTCCTCGGGGCTCAAGTGACCCAGAAGCCAACCTGCTGCGTGCTACTTTGATGCAACTCATTTTGTCGAATTGTTCCGTTCCGCAAGATCTAGCTTACGATAAGTTGTGTTGCTACCTTGGTGTTCAAAGTGGCCACCACGCCGAACAGCTGTCTCTGGAAGAGTTTTCCGGGCTGCAGTCTGAGCAGCTTGCGCAAAACCTATTGCTCCAGCAGCTAGCTAAATCAAAGCCGCTCAGCAAAGCAGGGGCCAAAGACACGGATAATGCATCTTCGAGCAGTGGTGAGCACAGCGCGCGTGCAGACGAAGAGCAGCAGGTTCACCTTGCTGACAGTGATGTGTGTGATGAATTTTTCAGCGACTGCGAGCAACCTAGGCCCAAAGTGTTTTTCACGCTGACTGATTGTGTGAGTATTCTGCGCCGTGAGGATGAAACTGCGCGGGCAAAGCAACCCGGTAGGCATGCAGAGGCAGACATGCAAATGCAACAGTTCGCAGATACATTTGCCAGCGAACTGCTCGCGCCTGCAAGTGGCATCGAGCCAAGCAACGTGCGATTAGATTGGCAACGAGGCCAGTTTGCCAGCGCAGCTGATAAATTAAAAACGCACCAGCAATCTGTTGTTAAGCTTTTGAGAGCGGAAGAAGCACGCGAGCAAGACTTGTGTGCCGCGCATGCCCGTGAAAACTTGACCACAGAACTTGCTTTGAAGCAGCTTGAAGATATGCTTGCTCGCAACCGTGCTCGAGCCGAGCAGGGGATCACTGAAGTTGACGTGCCCTTAGCGTGGCAAGGGCCAGGCTGTTACGCGAGAAAGCTTATGGAAAATTTTCCCTTCAACGCCGAGCAAGTTCAAGTTGTGGCTTTGATGGTATGGCCGCTGGAACATGCCTGGCGCCAGCGCGCTGACAAAACAACCTATCAGTTGCCCAGCGACTTAGGCTGCGTTAGAGCATTGCTCGTGGGAGGGGGCGGATGTGGGAAGACGACGATAATTGTGAAAATTCTCAAGCCGCTTTTATCTGTTTACTTTAGCCAAGTGCAATTGGCAGCGCCCAGCAACAAAGCGGCCAGGCTACTTGGAGGCCGCACAATCCACAACTTGGTTGCGCTCAAGGCAACTGATTCCTTGAAAACCCATGCTTTAGCGCTTCGAAAGCACGCAGACCGGAAAAAGCTAGACGCCGTGCTGGGGCAAGCAGGAGCTTTAATACTAGATGAGTTTAGTCAATGTCAAAGCATGCTGCTTCATGGGTCCTCTCTTCGTGCGACATATTGTCGCAGTGACAGATATAATCTTGACATTGCCTCTTACGCGAGGCCTTCTCAGCTGTTCGGTCGAATATCCTTCTTGATTCTGGCGGGCGACCACCTGCAGTTGCCGCCTGTCCCCAACACCTCATCACTGCTGGCAAGCAGCCATGTCGGCAATGATGAGCACAGGGCTGCCCTGAGTATGTTTTCTAACATACCCGAAGTCTTTGTCATGCAGACAGCAATGAGGTTTACAGACAAGCGGCTAGAGTCGATTCTCAACAAAATGCGCACACCAGGCGGCGCTGCTTTGAGTGACGAGGAGTGGCAAGCACTTTGCGCCACAAGAGTGGAAGGCCACAAAGATTTTCAAGACCCAGCCGCCTTAGCCGCAGCAACCGAAGCTTGGTATCATTCAAGCTACTTGTGGACCATCACAGCTATGGCAGCCTTTTTGCGCGCAAGGTGTTCGTCAAAGAAACAAGGCAAAACATTGTTCTACGTCCAGGCCGTGGACTTGCCCAGCAAAGTTTGCGAGCGCCAACATTTCCGCGAGATGTTGGCAGTGCCAAGCTTGCAAGCTACGAAAAAACTACCAGGAATCAACCTCATGCACATCGGCCAAAGCATTCGTTTTACAATGGCAGTTATTTTGCCGTTTGTCATTCAAGACGTTGTGGGAACGATAGTGGAAATAGATTTCGCAGAAAAGGTGCCAGGCAATCTTGGAAGAGAGCACCTGCTTTCTCGACTCCCGACGGCTGTGTATGTGAAAATTGATGATTGTGACATAGAGTTTCTTCCGCCAAAGCCTTGCCAGGCACACATTGTGTATAACGAGAGCTGTCCTCACTGTGAATCTTATAAGGGAGTCGTGCAAATCTCGCCGCAGACCCAAACATGGACGTTTACTTCGAAGGACGGGTTTAGCACGCAGGTGCGGCGCACGGCCTATCCTTTCATGCCGGCCAAAGCGTGCCCTTTGTACACAATGCAAGGCACCACAGCCGAGCCAGGGCTTCTTGCGCATTTCACACTGCCGCGCCGAGCATCTGCCGAAATCAAATTTTTGACCGTGTACGTGTTGCTTTCTCGACCTCGCTCGCTGGCATGCTTGCTTACAGTTGGCCTCACGGAGTCCGCGCGCACCGTGATTGAGTCAGGTCCACCCCAGGCTTTGCTTGAAACGTTTGAGCGCCTTTTCGGTGAAAAGGCTGCCCGCACAAGGCAAGAAGCAGTGGCAGCTGTGGAATCTTTAGGCTGGGAAGACGCGTGCGGCACCGCGTGCTGACACGCCAAACTCAATAGGATGGAAAAAGCGCTGCGTCCTTTAGTCGGAAAAACACCGCAATTTGCGCAGGGTCACGTCTGGGCATGCCATGGTTGCAAGTGTGTGTCTTTGAATGCGCGTCGAACTTGTAATTTGTTGCAATGTCGAGCTTAGCAGGGCGCGTAGTAGGCTAGGCGACCATTTTTCTTTGACAGAGCGATGGCAAGCAGTGACCTGCCTTTGGATGAGCTCACCAGGGAATCAGCCCGGATGGGTTCCTTCCTGCTCGCAGTGAGCCACGTGCAGACGCTGTCCTACGAGTACATGTGGAATGGCCAGATGAAGCAGGGCAAGAAGCTTGTGGTGACGTTTGTCTCTCCCAGTCCAAGGTTGTATTGCCTCGGCAGCGCCAAGATGCAAAAGGGCAACGAGACGGAACTCAAGAAGCTTGAGGAGCAGTTTCAAATTGCTTCCACATGGAGGTTTTTCGAACTGCTATTTGCAGATGACAAGCCGCAGTACATCGCGGCTCCCATCAAGCTTGTTCTGGACCTTCGTCGCTCAAAAAAGGTGCGCGTGCTGGACGCCAAGGACTTCAAGCAGCATGTGCCTGAGCCAGCGACCACAATCGCAGAGGTTGTGGGCCTGCACACTGCTGCCCGCATCGATGTCATTGGCTTATGCAGTGAGATGAGCGAACCGCGGCACCAGGACACAAAGCTGGGTCCCCGCTGCATCATCGACATTGCTGCTGCCTAGCGACATCAATGATTTTCAGTGCTTGGCGTTATTTTGCTCAGTGGCATCGGCGCTGTTTTGTGCGTGTGTAAATATGCTCTTTTGGCGTTATTTTGCTCAGTGGCATCAGCTGTCTTGTACAGGCGTTAATAAGCCCATCGGCTCAAAGCAGCAAAGGTTGTGGATGGCTCTTCAGCGATTTCCGACAGCGACAAGAAGGCAGAGCTCTGCCTTTCAGCCTTTTTCGT